ATTCCGCCTGTAAAATGGGAAAGGAGGTCCAATCCCTGGAGCTATGTATTCGTCACAGGACCACAGAAGAAGTCACTCTAGTGGAGGACAGAGCCAGGAGATGAAAATAGCTAGGTTCATGTTAGCATGCCGGATCAGCTTTCTCCAGGGGTCAAATTCGAGTTTCAACAGAATGCTGCCATCTTTCAGTCCTGTGAAATGGCAAATTCTGTTTGTTTAGTTACTGTCTGATTTTTTTCTTACATCTTTACTCTGTGTCTGTGTTAGGGAGGGGCACATCCACGCCACAGCACCCACGTGCATGTGGAGGTCAGAGGACAACACACTGGAGCTGGTTTTCTCCTTTCACTGCGTGAGATCTGGGGGTCAAATTCAGGTCATTAGGTCTGGCAACAGACACCTGTAGTGATATTTCCTTTGTATTTTAATAAATAAAGCTTACCTGAGGATCAGAGAATAAAACAGCCCCTCTGGTCAGTCTTATAGACCAGGCAGTGGTGACACACACCTTTAATCCCAGTAGCCACACTAGTTGCCATAGAAACTGGGCAGTAGTGGTGCACGCCTTTAATCCCAGCCCTGAAGAGAAACATAATACGGGAGAAGACAGCTCTTAGGCACACAGTGAGGATTGTGTCTCATTGTGAGGATTCAGGACTCAGGGTTGCCATTTTCAGACTGAGGTAGAGATAAAAGACAGAGGCTGACTGCTTTATTTTTCTGGTCTTCAGCTTGAACCCCAATACCTGTCTTGGGTTTTTTTATTATTATTATTATTTATTATACAGATACCTTTTAGACACAATGAACCACCTTGATGGCACATTTTATTTTATTTTATTTTATTTTATTTTTGTTTTGATTGAGATGGTCTATCACTGTGTTGTCCAGGTTGGCCTAGAACTTGTGATGCTCCTGTCTCAATTTTCCAAATTTAGGTTTACACTGCCACACCCTGCTAATAAATTCTCTTTACTGATCAAGCCAGCCTAAGTTGGACTTTGTATTATTACAGCCAAAGGCATTGGAACTGAAGTGCAGAGAAAGTACAGGTCACAGTAAGGAGAGGTTTAGCATACTCCTGCTCCCTATGACTTGTGCTAAGCAAACAATGTAGCAACCAAAGCTGAGGAGTCTTGAGTCTAGACTAGTGGGTGTCAACCTTCTTAATACAGTTCCTTATGTTGTGATGACCTCCCTGCCATAAAATTATTTTTGTTGCTACTTAACATAACTGTAAGTAATCGTTTTACTACGATTATGAGTGATATTATAAATATCTATGTTTTCCCATGGCCTTAGGCAACCCCTATGAAAGAGATCCCGACCCACAGGTTGCGAAACACTGGTCTAGCCTCGTTCCTTGGTACTTCTGCTCTCGGCCCCCTTGGGCTTCTGCCCCTCCCAGGGTGTATCAGCCTGGTTTCTCTGTGCCTCATCTCTTGCCTTCTGGATCTGGGAATTTATTTGGTCAATTTTGTTTTAAAACAGATTTATCTTCCTAACTTTCATTATCTTTGTCAGAGAAAAAGAAATGACAATCCCAGAAAGCTCAAACAGAAAAATATTTCTTTCATAAAATATCAAGGTTTTACAAAATCGCAAGAGCCAGAGAATTAAAAGTCAGAGAAAGTCGGCCATTGCCCAGATTTGACACCAGCTTTCAAAGAACTAAAAACTTTAGAAATTGCAGCGATTACTCCCCCTTACAATATCCATGGAGGTGACCGTAGAGAAGCACGTGGAGGCCCCGGAACCCTTTCGTCTTTTAGGCACGGTCTCCCTTTCTCTTTGGCTTTGCACATCTCATCTCCGATGCCTTCCATGGGAGGGAACTTACCCACACCTTCCCCAAAAGGGATTTTGGAAAACACAGATCTTAAATATCCATTTTCTGCGTGATATAAGAGAACAGATAAAGGCTTAAATAGTGTGTATTGTGAATACACACTTAACATAGCCATTCCCTAACAGAATAAACCATCCATGAGACCCTACCCCACCCTGACCCCATGTTAGACTTAATACCGTGTCTTTCTCTATAGTGTAGACTGCTGGGGGCTCAGTCATCCATATGCTGGGGTTACAAGGAGCAGTACTTCACCTGATATATGTTTTATTTTCACTTTAGTTTTTGAGTTATAGTCTCACTATGTATCCATGACTGGTCTAGAACTTATATAACCAGATGAACTTTAACTCACAGAAATCCTCCTGCCTCTGTTTTCCAAGTGTTGGGATTAAAAGCCTGCACCACCATACCTGACATACTTCTCTTTTCATGTTAATTATTTCTGTAATTTTGATATTATAATGCAAAATAGTAATATATATACTCATTAGGAACTTACAGAAGTGAAGCCAGGTCAGAGAAGCAGGAAGGAAGGACCACAGACTAAGCTGAAGGGTTCGTTCCCAGTCTACACAAGACACACTTTATGCTTCTCATGATTGTAGGTGGGTACCATAACAAGGCCCCAGACCTTAGTAGGTCCAGAGACCTTAACGCAACTGTCTCCATGATGGAAGTGCCATTCAGGCTGCAAACCTTAGCACGCAGACAGCACCACCTGCCAAAACTAAAACAACAGCCTAATCCATCAGAGTCTGTGGTGATAGGAAAGTCTCTAAATGTACCTACCTTGCTTTTTGGCTTCTGTTGTTCTGCGTCTGGCTGACTATTCTTGTTAAGTGAAGTGTGCCAGCCCAGGACATAGTTCTTGTGCTTAAAAGCTCACCCAGAGAAAGGCTCGAGGCTACGCTGGGATCCCGAACACCCAGTGTAGTCGCCAGCAGGCTAATAGAGATGTTCTACTGTTTTAAACCCATGTCTGAGCAGTCTTCTCTGGTGAATACCCCACAGCTGGCACCCGCACGTTTGTGTGCCCATGGAGGTCAGGGGTCAACACTGTTGCCTTCCTCAACCGTTTTCCATCTTATTCTTTTAAACTCTTATTTGTTTAATTATTTGTGTGTGTGGTATGCTACCACACATGTGGAAGTAAGTGGCCAGCTCTGTGGAACTGGTTCTTCCTTCTTCCTTGACATGGGTCCAGAGGATCACACGTGGTTCTTTGTGCTGTATGGCGATTGCTTTTACCACTGAGCCATTCCTCCAGTCTTACCTTATTTTCTGAGACCACCTCTCAGTGAACTTGAAGCTCTCTAATTCAAGTAGACTGGCAGGCTAGCAAGACCTGGGGACCCTCCTGTCTCTATGTCCCTAGTGTTGATAACTCAGGTTTGTACCACTGTGTACAGCTTCAATCAGGTCCTCGTGCAGTGTGGCGAGACACCTGCTACAGAGTCCTCTCCCGTCTCCACCTCTGTTCTTTAGATGTAAACAAACTGGGCATGGTTGAAGTTTTCTAAACATAGCAGCAACGCGACGTGATTTATTTGTTTCATTTGCTCGTGATCATGTTCACCTTTCTTCCCTTATCAGAGGTCGTGGTGTAGCAGCCTGGATCCTTTCCCTTAGCAGCCGCCAGTGAGCAGACTTCAGGCTCCCAGGTGTCCTATGCTTTCCTCAGAGTAGAATCTAGACTGAAAGATTTGGGTATGCACGATGTGTGCCTTTGCCCTCGTTGCTTATTAAGTGAGAACTACAGAACACCAGCTCTGTGTTGGAGCCTCAGAGAACCAAGAGAGTAAGAGTTAATGGGCCGGGCATGGTGGCACACGCCTTTAATATCAGCACTCGGGAGGCCAAGAAAGGTGGATCTCCATGAGCTCTAGGCCAGTCTGGTCTATATAGGGCAATGGTCCTCAGCCTCCCTAATGCTGTGACCCTTTACTAATACAGTTCCTCAAGCTGTGGTGACCCCTAACCATAGATTACGTTCCTAAGCTAGCCACCAAGGTCTCTTCCCCTATTTGGCCACTTCCTCCTCCTGAGACTGACTACCAAGATTCAGCTACCGAAGTATTGAAGTCTAGTAGTCAGAAGCCCCTTTGGTTCACCTACTTAACATGCCCTATTAAAATTAAACACCACATCCTAACATGGGGTTTCCCCTTTTATCTTTATAAACCGCCATTTGCTTTGTCTTTCTCCTCTCTATTCAGAGGCAGTCCTTTGTCCTCCCAGGGGACAAATACCCCTGTCCCCTCTCCCTTGTCCCCTCCTCCTTCTCTCTCATCCCCTGTCCCCTGCCTTTGTCTCTTACTTCCTGTCCTCTGTCTTTCTGAGGCAAATAAATCTCCTTTGTGCTGAGAACTTGGTCTTGGGGTGTCTTGTGCTGATACCAGGCCTTTTACTTACTATTTGGGGTAAGTAGATGTGTGTTGTGTCTCCCCAGGAAAAGTTTTGTCACATAACACTAGCCCATAGGATCATTCAAAAGATAGAGAGTCAGAGCCGGGTGTAGTGGGTCGCAGCTGTAATTCCAACATTCCGGAGGCCAAGACAGGAAGATTGCATTCAGTTCAAGTCAGCATGAGCTACACAGTGCATTCCGGGCCGACGTTGACTACAGAGTGAGAGTATCTCACCAACAATGGAAAAGAGGGGCTTGGAGAAAGTTGTATTTCTGCAGGGCTTGCAGCACGAGGACCTGAGTCGAATCCCCAGCACTTGTGAAGAAAGTCGGGTGTGGTGGTGCATACGTGTGACCCTGGTGCTGGGGGGAAACAGAGTGGAGGCTACCCGAGACGAGCCAGTGTAGACTAATCAGCGAGCCCAGGTGCCAGGTAGATGGCTCCGAAGGAAACGCACACAGGGCTGACCACTGGTCTCCCCACAAGTATACACACACACACACACACATACAAGCTTACACACTGGCACATACTACACACCGGGAGAGAGAGAGAGAGAGAGAGAGAGAGAGAGAGAGAGGGAGGGAGGGAGGGAGGGAGGGAGGGAGGGAGAGAGAGAGAAAGAGAAAGAGAAAGAGAAAGAGAAAGAGAAAAAGAGGTAGCCTCTTTGGGGGAAAGGGCGAGAAGGCATGGAATCAACAGAGCAATCAACTGCGCAAACTCCGGGAGCAGGAGAGATGCAAAAGCCAACTCGTTTATTGAGGGTATGGGCAGGTCCTTTTGGGACCCAGGGTAGGTGCCAAGCTGGACTATTGTGTTATCTCTCTCTCATTGGCCAAAGTCATCATAACACCGGCAGACTTTGGTTGACGCAGGAGGAAGTTGCGAATGTGCATGCTCAACGGGCTTCTTGCTGGCTGTTAGCCTCTTCCTGCTAAAGAGGAAAAAAAGGAGATATATATCCAAACACAAAGAGAATTTGTGTTCAATTAAAGACACAGTGTATACATTGTATTCAATACTACTACAATAAGGGAGAGAGGTTCAGGAAAACTGAATTCAACTCTAATACTAAAAACATAATGAGGGTCATTGGGTGATTTTTTTTTAATGTAGGGTTTCACTATGCAAGACTGGCCTTGAATTTACTATGTAGCTAAAATGACCTTGATCCTCCTGCCTCCATCTCCCTGATGCTGAGTGTGCAGGTATGCTCCACCATGCCTGGTTTGGAAAATACTAAGATCAGACCTCTGCGGTAAGGCACATTCTTGGTAATATTTTCCTTGTGAATTTCATGTGTGCATGTATATATGTGTGTGTGTTAATTATTACACCTTCAGCTCCTCATTTTCCTCCTCCTCCCCCTCGTCTTTCCAACCTGAGTCGTCTCTTCCTTGATCTGTCAGCACATTACACATTACAGGAGGACTGCACACTCCTGCTGCCACCATCAGGAGCTCCTCTTGGTTCCATAAACACCAGCACACCTTCCACCATGACGGGCTGAAGGACTCCCTCTCCCTTCTCTCCTACTTCTCCTCCTCACCTCCTATTTTTCTTTTCTTCCTTTTCTATAATCTGTTGAGTCCAATTAGTGCTGCCTGGGTAAACATGGGTAACTAGCAACAGCCACCCCTCAAAGAAGAGAAGGAACCCCCTCTCGGCTCCGCAGCCATCAGCTGCCAATAGCTCCTCAGCTAATGCTGGCGCCCCATGAGCTTGTCCCTCAAACATGCCGGAATTATTGACTGGCTTAATCGTGTGCAAGTGATCATAGCTGCTTGAGGTCATGAGCACAAGGGTTGCGCCATAGTCGAAAGACAGAATGTCACAGCACGCTTCCCCATCCTCCAGCTCCTCGGGGTCGCTCCCAGAGCAGTGTGGGGGTTACTACAGATGTCTCACTTAGGGCTGAGTACTCAACAGTCACCTCGGTTCAGCATCTTAACCAATCACGCATTTCTACACTGACTGCTGGCCGAGGTGAAGAGCAGAAGCATAACCTATGAGCAGAAACATAAACACTTAGTTTGACAACATTTCTGTCTGTTCTGCCAAACAACAGCCGTGGGTTCCCCTGCTAGGACCTATAAGCTCCTATGACTTTATAGGCTCTTGAGCAAGTTTCAGTACTAATAGTATTCTCACCAAGGGAAAGTCAAGGACTTAAGACACTTAGGGTAGGGGATATGGAACATGGTCAGAGACTATCAAGGAAAGGTGGTGATTCCCACTAAACTGACTCGATGGGATTCTTGCTCTAAAACTAAGCAGGAATTGTAGGTTCACCTAAGTGGTGCGGTTCTTTCCTAGCATGGAAAAGACCCCAGATTCGCTCTCAAGCATCAGAAAGATGACACAAAACAGGATGGGGTATAGCTCAGCAGCACGGAGCTTACTCAGCATGCACAAAGGCCTGGGTTCCTATACTGGCAAGTGAGTTCATTAGAATGTTTAAACTCTGAAACGCTTTCATTTCTTTGGATGCTTCTCAGTTCCCATACTTTCTTGCATGATACAAATTATTTGGGGAACTGGCAGAGAACTCAGCCGCTTTCAGTACTCTTTAAAGTTAACTTGGAAATTCGGGCTTTGCAGCTTTGAGGGCTCCTTATTAAAATCACAACTTAAATTGAGAGAACTGTACTTATCTCTCACTAAATATTTCCTCCTAATACCAAATTCAGAGGAAGTAAGAACTCCATCACTTCTCCTCTAGACAAGTTTAACTGTTTGTCTAAAATATTTGGACATGGTACAGTCAGTAGACGAGATGGCCAAAGAGAACAAGACCCACTGTGACCGTTATGAGGAGATTTTAGCATGTTTTCCCCAAACTCAAAAATTAAGAATACAAATGATACATGGAAAATCTGAGAAACAGAAACAACTGACCTCATGGGCATGTGTGAAAACCTCAATCCAACACACACACACACACACACACACACACACACACACACAAACTACCTTCTTCCCCTCCCTCTCTCCAACTCAGGCTGCAGATCCAAGCACTCTACTATTGCATCCCAAGAATATACTCCTCAAACAGAGAACACAGACAAAACTAAGTCCTTGGGTCAGCAAGATGGCTCAGCAGGGAAAGGCACCTGCTACCATTTGCCAACCTGAGATCCATCTCTGGGACTCACATGGTAGAAGGAGAAAACTAACTCCCAAAAGTTGTCCTCTGACTTCCGTACGTGCACCCTAGTGTATGTGTGTTCATACACATAGACAAATACATAGATACACACACATAAAAATAGACATACAGACAGACAGATACACACACATGCAAATAAACCAAAGTTTTATTTAGAAAAGTAAGTACCTGATTTTAAACATGGTTCTCAAATTATTTCATTTTCTTAACTAATAATTGTTTTTCCTCCTGTTACATTGGATTCTGCCTTTGGATTATTGATGTGGGGTTCCCCTCCATATGCTATGAATTATGTTTTATTAGCATTGGCGATTAAAGAAGCTGTTTCAACCAATGACTTAGTAGAGTAAAGCCAGATGGGAAATATAAACAGAGATTATAGAAAGAAAGTAGGCAGAGTTGAAGAGACACCATGTAGCTGCCAAAGGAGATAGACACAGGAAAACCTTACCGGTAACCCATGAACCTCATGGAGACACATAGATGAATAGAAATGGGTTAATTCAAGATGTAAGAGTTAGCTAAAAAAATATGCATGAGCTAATTGACCAGGCAGTGTTGTAATTAATATAGTTTCTTTGTAATTATTTTGGGTCTGGGCGACTGGGAAAACAACGAGTAGTCTCTGACCACAAAATGACATGCCAACGAGGGCTGACTATATCCACATAAAATCTGAGAGAGCTTGAAAAGGAATTCTAGACACACACACAAAACAAAAACAAAAACAAAAACAAAATGGTAGCAGCATTTTCTCAGGTGACCTCTGTTTGCTAGAAGCAAGCAGAGGCACGATTAAGAGAAGGCTTCCTAACTCGACAGTAGCAGCAAACTCCATGGCTCCTTTAAGAAGGCTTCCTGGTTTGTGCTAGTCGCACAAACAGCTCTGGCTCTTTCAGGAGGCTGATCACTTGAATGGACTTTGTGGGCAGCATGCTGCAAGTTACTTGGTGGCAGCATGGACCAACTGCTTCCCAGAGTTGAGGTAGTGAGGATGGCTCTCACCAGGTGGTCCCAGAGCTGGCGGTAAACATGCCTCCACCATACTGAAAGGCTGAGAGAGGTGGGGCCATCATCCACAGCCATTGTGACCAAGCTGGTTACCATTTTAAAAGCACTTCTGGTCAGAAAATGATTACAGATATGCAATAAAGACAGATTCAGACAAAAGTAAACCTCTGAACAGGTCACAGTGTATTTAAAAATGTATGTAGGCTTGGAAGAGAGAAGAAAAAGAAGATAGACAGTTATAAAAAGAAATAAATATTTTTAAAGAATAAAATAAGTCTTTAAAGAGACAGAGTACAGTCATAGATTAAAGGAGTAAAGAAAAATAAGCCCATAAAGATGGAAAATACACAGGGCATCTGGATTATGCATATTATTGTGGTTTCTTTGAATTTTTTGACTGTGAATGAACTAAGTACAGAGAAACATTTCATTGTATGGGCTGCTAAGCTAAACCAACATATATATTTTAAAGATATCTTGACTTCAAAATTTGGGTCTAAAGATATGTTGCTTTGGAAAAGAGGTTCTGCTTTTGTTTCCACAGAGGATAAAAAGCTGTGGATTCCTTAATGACTAATAAGGTTTAATCAAAGAAGACCTCCTGAAATAATGGGCCAGATGGTCCAACATCCATGACAGCTTCAGGACTGCTGGCTTAGATGTACCTACCACACAGGATACCCCATGAAAGACCTGATTAACAGTGCCCCCAATCAGCAGGAAGTAGTCTAAAGAACAACACCCAAATTGCCTAAATGATTGTTTACAAATGTTTACATTTAAAGGGGGATGTGCTAGAGAGATGAATACTTTGCATTGGTATGAATCTTGGTTTATTGATACAAATTTAAGGTCAGTTTTGTTATATGTATATTTCTGCTCTTGATTAAGGTATTATGTTTGTGCAGTTCATTTAAAAATGTAATGTATAATTAAGAAATACAGGTTAATAGATAGTCATCTATAATAGCCAAGCTTGTAGTCATGTTAGTTAGGTTTTTAAGATATACAGAGATCTATTTCAGATGAATAGTTATTCTTCAAAGCTTTCAAAGACTACAGAATATGATATTTAAAATGTTTTAAAAACTTAGGACTTTTCATGACAATGAGACACATCTGCTCCTGGCAGCTCCACTCTACTTCAAGAGGATAATGGGCATCAAAGTGGCTCCTTATAGAGTTTGTTAGCCATTTGGGCAAGAAACTGTTCTTGCCTGGATTGCTTGATGGTATGCTGTATGAACTGGAATGTAGGGCCCACAGAAAAATGACTGCTGAAGTTGCCTAAAGAAGGTGAGATAGTCCTTCAGGGTTCCTGTTTCATGAAAGACTCTGCAAGACATTCTGCAGGACACAGAGGAAAGTGACTGACAAACTGTCAAAAGAGGCAAAACAGTCTTTCAAATTTCCTGCTTCATGGAAAAGTCTGCTGGATACTATGAGCCTGTAGGCTGAGGATGGATACCCTAATGTTACAGAAGAACTTTGGGTGACTGTCCAGGCAGTGAGATGTCTCTGTCAATTCTAGAGTTTTAAAAGTTGCTTACAATGTACTTCCTGTTTACTTAGGTAATATTATATCCTTCTGGGGCCTTTGATGAAGTTGAAGAATAGATAGTTATAATTACAGTTTTCCTTAGTTATGATTAAAGATAAAGTAGATATAAATATTATAACTTCAATTCTTGCTTGATACCTGTTTTGTTATATGTAAAATTTTACTATATTAAAGTTAAAAACCTTCCTTTTCATTTAGACAGAAAAGGGGAGATGATGTGGGATTCTCCTCTGTATGTTATGAATATGTTTTATTGCCATTGGTTATTAAAGAAGCTGGTTGGCCAGTGGCTTAGTAGAGTAAAGCCAGATGGTAAATATGAACAGAGATTATGGAGAGAAAGTAGGCAGAGTTGAGAAGATGCCATGTAGCTGTGGAAGGAGACAGACACAAGAAAATCTTACCAGTAAACTATGAGCCTCATGGCAATACACAGATTAATAGAAATGGGTTAATTCAAGATGTAAGAGTTAGCTAGAAATATGCATGAGCTAATTAGCCAAGCAGTGTTGTAATTAATATAGTTTCTTTGTAATTATTTTGGGTCTGGGCAGCTGGGAAACAAATGAGCAGTCTCCATCTACAGGTTACGGAATGGCTGTAACTACCAGGGAGGGAAATGCTACCTTCCCCCCACACTTACCAACAGGACCAGAGTCGATATTGGCTGCTGAAGCATTTTATATGCAACTTTTCAAGTGTGTATATGTACCATTAAATTCTGATTTTAAAAGTTATGTTTCCGTAGCCAGTATGGTGGCAATACCTGTAACCAGCTACACAACCTGGGCTATATGAGAGAGACTGATCAGGTTTCTTCCTCAGTCCTTCTCAACTTACTTTTGAGAGACAGTTTCCCACCAACCCTGGAAGATGGTGACATAGTCAGACTGTCTGACCAGCACGCCCCAGGGATGCCCTTGTCCTTACTCCCCAGCACAGGGATCACAGGTGCACATGCCTACACCTGTAGATGTGGGATCTGACCCCGGTTCTCACACTTCTGCAGCAAGCCCTTCACTGCCTGAGTGTCTCCCTGTTGGGGGATATTATTTTAAGGTGTGTGACTTTTGTTTGTGCTGCACTTGTTGAACTCTGTGAAGCTGTGATTCTTTGCCTGTCTAAAACACCTGATGGTCTAATAAAGCGCTGAGCGGCCAGGAAGTAGAAAAAGACAAGATCTCCTGAGTAAATTGGGAGCATGGGGACCTTGGGAGAGGGTTGAAGGGAAGGGGAGAGGCAGGGAAGGGAGCAAAGAAAAATGTAGAGCTCAATAAAAATCAATTTAAAAAAAGAATCACACACACACACAAAATAACTGAATGGCCAACAGTAAGGTGGGATCAAGAAAAGAAGTAGAGGGGACACAAGGGGCCAGCCGCCCAGCCACCCGGCCACCAAGCCACACAGTCACACAGCCACACAGCCACCAAGCCATACAACCACACAGCCACACAGCCCCCAACCACACAGCCACCCAGTCACACAGCCCCCAACCACACAGCCACCCAGTCACACAGCCCTCAACCACACAGCCACCCAGTCACATAGCCACACAGCCACACAGCTGCCCAGCTGCACAGTAAGAGTGAAAGTAAGCTATACAGAAGTAAGAAAAGGAAAAAGCCCAGAGGCAAAAGGTAAATGGAATAATTTAAGTTAATAAAAGCTGGCTAGAAATAAGTCAAACTAAGGCTGGGCATTTATAAGTAAGAATAAGCCTCCGCATGAGTGTCTTATTTGGGAGCTGGGTGACAGGCCCCCCTCCCCCACCAAAAAACCTAAGAAGCAAAGAGTAATTAATGAGAGTAAGAGACAAACACCACATCTCCCTAGCCCCAAGGCTATTTTCCTTTTCTTTGTATTATGTTTTGTTTGTTTACTTTGTGTTTATGTGGGGAGGGAGGCGGTCACTGTGGGTATACAGAGGTCAGCGGACAACTTACACAACTGGCTTCTATCCTCAGCTATCATAGTCCCATGAGGAATGGACCAGGTCACCAAGCTTAGTGGCCAGTGTTTCATCCAGCTGAATCACCTTGCTGGACCAAAGCCTATCAAACTGTGCACTGTATAATGCTTCCTAATCCTGTATTTAATTGGCTTCTCAACTACCTAGTAACTACTAGTTTCAACAGTGTGGAACAGAAGGGTTTCACGTGGGTGTGCGACCGGTTTTTCTTCCAGATTTTTCATGTCACTCTCTGTAAGACGACTTCATCCTCTACAAAGCCAGTGCCAAAGAGCCCCACTGTACCCTGGACACATCTTACTTGACAGGTTCATTTAAACATTTTCATTGTTTTTCTAGGGGGGAAATGTTTGACCCCCATAATTGAAATGCTGGGGCTGGACTGAGAGAAGCTAGAAAAGAGGTGAGGGCAGAGAGGGCAAGAGCCTCTGGCTGTAAACCAGGGTGTAGCTCGGATAGGAAGTGGCCTTGCTTCCCCATCTTCCTGCTTCACCCCTCACCTGACAGTTCAAGCCAATCTGGAAGCCCTGACTGGATCCCTGAGATCTTCCTTCCCCTCCCTCCTCTCCCCGGAGCTAAAACTTCTTCCTCCCTAATTACTTTTTTGCCCTGTTGAAATCCTGTATTGCCTTTGAGACTCAGAACAAAACCCACCATGATCTAACTAGCTGTGGATGAAAATCAAGTCTCCTACATCCCAAGGGCAGTAGGTACAACACAGTGCTGAATAGTTTGCTGCCCCTGTGGACTCCTTTCTTACACGGATGCACACGTGCTAAAATAAAGTAATCTCCTCTGGGAAAAGCTCCTGCAGCCAAGCCTGATGATTTGAGTTCTGAGTTCAAATCCCAGGACTGACAGTGAAAGGAGAGAACCCACTCCTGCAAGCTGCCCTCTGACCTCCACAGGCACGCTGTGGCACGCGTGCCACACACCTATAAACGCCCACACACAACATAAAAATAAAATAAAGCAAAAATGAGACGGTTGTTAGAGAATAGACCTCTCTTCAAATCCGTGGGGAGAAATTGTCACCTGGGTATCCTTGGGTGTAAAATGAGAGCAGTGCATAGACCAATTAAAAGATGGAAAGCCGTTGGACAATAGCGTCTGGTCCGTGGTAGACACTGCCCGGCGGGGGCGTGGTCACCTGGGACCCTGAAAGCCTCGGTCCTGGGCGCGCGCGCGGTCATGTGACTGGGCTAAGATGGCGTCCCCCGGCTTACGGTGGCTCCTGACTGTGTCTCTTCTGCCCTGGTGCTGCGCCGCCTGGTCGCTGGGATATCTTAATCCGCCTTCTCCGCCACCGCTGGTGATCTGGCATGGGATGGGTGAGTGAGTGTGGAGAGGGGCATCCCTTCCCCGCCTGGGTTCACATCGCAGAGCTGGAAGGGCGAGGACTGTGATTCCACGGCACCCGGCGCCTGATCTAGGTTTTGGGATTTGGGGACTCTCTGCACTGGAAAGAAGGGAGCCAGGTGTCTTTAGTGAGCGCTCAGGGAGAGCTGTGCACTGCTAGGGTTTTATGATGTCCTTATTAAAATCCTAGCAGCAATGACATCAGCTATCAGCAACTGACATCGGACCATCGGTCCCTGCAGAGCTGGGCGGCACACTCATGCTTTCATTCCTTCACTCTTTGGAGATCTACTAGGCACCTGCATCACCTTTTTACAGTTACCACACAGCACGACTACATCTGAGCATGAAACAAACTGAATTCTCCATCCTTCTGGAACTTACTTTCCAGCGGGGGAAACATACTATAAAGAAATAAGGGAAAAATGTGTCAAATGGTGGTGAGTGTGGTGTGGACAGACAGAAAGCCTAGAAGATAGAGCTGGAGGTGTGAGCATGCGCTTGTAGAGAGCACTGTTAGGAAAGGAGTCACCCAGAGAGTGGCAACCAAACCGGTCTAAAGTGATGAGGGAAGATGCCTATATGGGTGTGTGGGCAAAGGCCCTGAGCCGAGCATGTGAGTGTCCAGATCAGGGTAGCAGGAGCAGAGGGAGCAAGAGAAGAGAAATGTGAACCACCATTCTAGCACTGGGAACGTACCCTGCAAGAACAAACCACTGAGCCATCTATCCAGCCCCCTGACTTACATTTTTAAAAGATTGTTCAAATGCAACATGGTGGGAGCCTGTGATTTCAGCGCTCAGGAGGCAGGCAGGAGGATTTCTGCAAGTTTGAAGCCTGTCCTATATGGCAAGTTCCAGGTCAGCCAGAGTTACATGGAGAGACCCATAAATAATAATATATTTTTAGCTAAAGTTAAAAATGAAAACAAAGGGTTATTCTACTGGTGACACTAGATGGTCATGTGGACCCTTCTAGTGGTCACTGACACAAGCAATGTGGCTCAGAGTCCTGGGGAGAAACTGTCATTAGAAAGAAAGGGACAGAGGAACAGGGTTAGCTATGACCACAGGGAATCCAGGCTGCTTGTCCACAGAGGTGACAACAGGCGATTCCCAGAGTCTTTGGGGATGTGAATTTATTAGCTGTGAAGATTGACTTTCTCGAAGACTCCTCTTAAGGAGAGTCCACATGTAAGGTTCAGGTTATTGGCCTGTTTGTCCTGGAGACCCCCTGGCTCTGTCCTGTAGCTAGTCAGCTGTTCTTTTCCTCCTGTGACAAGGTGAACAGGGATCAGGGCCAGGACAATTCCACAGACTGTAGAAAAGGAGAAGAGAGACTCTGTGGGTCAGACTTTATGGATTCAAGACATGACAGCCTGTCTGCCTTGTCCCACTGTGTCCTTATTTCTGGTTTAGTTTCTGTGCTGAGAAGAGATTGTAGGTGTCACAGAGGTCTGCAAGGGGACCCTGCAGTCCCTTGAACCCTAGAGATGGCTGTGGCTCAGAGCCGTGTAGTGACAGATGTTTGGTAACAGGAAGTACAGGGAAGGCTGGAACTTTGACACACTTGCGGGTGGCATCATGGGATTTAGATGTGGTGTGAAAGACGAAGGGGACAAAGATGACGCCATCGTTTCTGGCTTGAACAATTTGAAAGTGAAGTTGTTTTACCAAGAAGTGGTAGCCAGGAGGGGAACACACTTGGGGTATATATACGTAGTCAGAATTCTTTTAAGCCCAGTAAAGGAACGCACACTGGTACTTGGAGCCCCAGGAAGTGGAAAGAGTAAGGTCTTAGCTCCAGGCCAGCTGAGGTACATAGCCAGACCCTATCTCGAAAGAAAACAAAAGAAAAAGAATTTGCTTTTGAACGTAGGAATTTAAAGGGTTTGTTGTTATTGCTTTGGTGTGTTGCTTAGTTTCATATGGGGCCTTTTTATTAAAGTGTTTTTACTATTGTGGGGGGTACCACCTACACCATTGCACACACGTGGAAGTCAGAGACAGTTTGCAGCAGTCGGCTCTCTCTTCCACCGTGTGGGTCCCAGAAATCAAACTCCGGTTGTCAGCCTTGGCAGTGGGCATCTCTACCCAAAAGACATACATCCAGACCTAGTTTTTGACTGAGACAAGGTTTCATGTAGCACAGGCTAGCTCAGAACTTGTATTTGTTGCCTAGACAAGAATGACTTTGAACTTCTGATCTTACCTATACTCCTCCGAAGCGCTAGGACTACAGGTATTTGCAAACAGCCTGGGCTTGTTTGGTATTTTGAGACAGTATCTTTCGTAGGCCAAGCTGTCACTGAACTAGACATGTAGCCAAGGCCCCTTTTTGTCCCTACTCATTACAACATGGTGGATGTTGTTAAGAAAGAAGTTTCTTTGGTGCGGCGTATTTTCTCCTTATACTTTCCTGTCCGGCTGAGATGCTGCACTGTAAGTGCAAAGAGGACATGTCTCATCTTGGTGGTCAGTTGGCTTCCTGTTCTTAGGTCTGATTCTTTGCGGGAAAGGAAACAATTCCTGGGCTAGGTTGAGGTGCTGAGGTTCTCGCTCTTGATTTGTACAAGTGGGAGGTCAACCTTTTCTCAAAGCTTGTAGATGGATTCTTCTTTGGGCTTCCAGCTCACACACACACAAAAATGGCATGGATACTTAATTAGGAAGCTCAGCCTATAGCTTAGGCTTATCCCACGAACTCTTATAACTTAAATGAACCGATTTATATTAATCCTATGTTTTGCCTCGAGGCTTTTTACCTCTCTTCCATCTGTACCTCCTGTTTCCTCTCTATGTCCTCTGGCATCTCCCCTGCACCTAGATTCACCTCCTCTTCCTCTCTCTGCCTGGAAGTCCCACCTAACCTCTTTCTGCCTAGCTATTGGCACTTAGATGTTTATTAAAAACCAATCGTTTTATTAAAAACCTTGGCAAAGACACATCTTCACAGTGTACAAAAAGATTATTCCACAACAGAAGCTCATAGGGAATATTTCATTGAATTTTGTGCCTTGGGTATTTCACTGACCTCCATTATGGTCCCTGGGGTTACAAATGTGTGGCGCCACACCTGGCTTTTGATTTTTTTCTATTTCTTTCATTTGCTATAAGACAGGGATTCATGCTGCTCAGACTAGTTTCAAATGTCCCTGAGAAGCCAAAGAATAACCTTGAAGTTCTAATCCTCCTCCCTCTGCCTTCCAAGTGCTGGGACCATGTGTGTGCTCCCCTTGTCCACTTTATACAGTCATTTATCCTGTCTGGGGCCTGGTGCATCCTGGGCAAGCACTCTATCAGTGGGGTGACTTCTCCACCCCCATGTGGCCTCTGCAGCTTGTTAGCACCTGACAGAGCCATGTAGGAAGTGTTCTTTTATCTGTTCCCACTGAGGGGACACTCCTGTGACACCAGCTTCACCGTTTTCAGTGCACGATTCGGTGGAGTTGAGCCTGGTCACAGCTGAGGCAACCACAGCTTCCCTGTAGTTTCAGGACTGTCAGCCCAGGCAAACCTCTGCATGGTTAAGTCCTTGTTTCCTCACCTCCTCTCTTTCCTGATCACCTCCTGCCTGTTCTCTCTGCTGTGGTTCCTTATTCTGAGAGAACAGGTGAAGGAGCAGACAGTCTGTCTACTGTGTAGGGTTAGTGCACGGAACATGCTCTGAGGGTCATCCAGGTTGTAGCATGCTTCAGTGCTTCATGCCTGTTCGTGGGTGAACAGTATCCCATTGTGTGACTACACCACAGGTGGTTCATCCAGTAATGGACATTTGCCCAGTTTCTACCTTTGCTATGACCACAATGCTGCTGTAAGCATTTCTGTAATGGTTTATCTGGATGTACGTTTTCACTTTTCTTGGGTATAAAAGTAGCAGGGGAATTACATGCTTAATTTTTTTTTTAAGTCATTGCCATACTTTCCCACAGGGATTGCATCAGTATAGTCCCACCAACAGGGTACAAGCATACCTATTTCCCCAGGTCCTTGCCAACACTTACTTTCCAATTTTAAAACGTGTGATAGCACACACCTTTAATCCCAGCACTAGGGAGGCAGAGGTAGACAGATATCTCTGAGTTTGAGGTGAGCTTGATCTGTGTGGGGAGCTCTAGGCCATTCAGGGTTCTGCCTCAAGAACAATAAAAATAAACAAAAGTTACTTTTAAGCCGTCCAGGTGGGTATGAGGTGACACTGTTTAGACCACATCTAAACTACAGTGATGCTGCTGGACACTTCCTGTCTTCTTGGAGAAACGTCTTTGCATCCTTTCCCAATTTATGTTTAAGATTTTTTTTTAAAAATTCATGTGTACATGTATGACAACATATGTGTATGTGTGCCCATGGAGACCCGAAGAGGGCTTCACTGACTCCCTGGAGTTAGAGTTGGCTGTGAGGTTGCAACATGGGTTCTAAGAACTGAGTTCAGAAACTCTAGAAGTGCTCTCAACCACAGATCCTCTCTCTAGCATCTTCTTTCATTTTAAATATATTTATTTTTATTTTTATGTGTATGTGTGTGCCTATGTCAAGTACGTGTAGATGCCCAAGAAGGCTAGATGGTGGATTTCCTGGATCTGGAATTACATGTGGTTGTGAGCCATCCAACATGAGTACTGGGAACCAAACTTGGGTCCTCTGACAGAGCAATATCTTGACCAGTGTTCTGTTGCTGTGAAGAGACACCATGACCAAGGCAACTCTTATAAAAGAAAACGTTTAACTAGGGCTGGCTTACAGTTTCAGAGGTTCAGTCCATATCATCATGGCAGGAAACATGGTGCATGCATGGTACTGGAGTAGTAGCTGAGAGCTGCTACATCCAGATCCACAAGCAGAGACAGACAGACAGACAGACAGACAGACAGACAGACAGACAGACTGCACCTGGGCACCTGGTATGGACTTTTGAAACCCTCAGAGCCCACCTCCAATGACACACTTCCTTCAATAAAGCCACACCTCCTAATCCTTCTAATCCTATCAAAGAGTTTCACAGCTTGACTAAGCATTCAAATATATGAGCCTCTGGGGCCTTTCTTATGCAAACCACCACAAGCATCTAGCATTCTCAACAATTGAACCCCCTCTCCAGCCTACCCCCTTTTCATAATTATATTATTCGCCTTGTTGAATTGTAAGAATGATTTGTGTATCTGGACACTGAACTCAGATACATGTTCCACAAATATTTTCTCTCCTTCTGGAGTCTGACATCTCAACTTTTGGCTTCTAACTTCTTACATTGTGGGTCAGAGACCCATATGGGATTATGTCACTAAATGTGGGGATCTCGAAAAGTGTGGCAACAGTATTCTGAACCCTCAATGAGCAAAACTTCATTCAACATCAAGAATGAAATGAATCAAGTTATTTCTGGCCGTGTTTGCATCTCCCACTCCACTGGGGCACGCTGAACACAGAACACGTGCACTTGGCATTGTACATGCTGTCCTGCCATGAACACCAATAAAACACTGCTCAGGCTCCAGGCTGCTGGTGTCATGAACCCCAGTGCCCTACTGTATGCACGTCTTATGTTCTTATAGTGGTTCTATTGCCAGAAATGAAGACTTAATATTTTCTTCAGCGTGTAAGTACCAAATCAGCTTGTCTTTCTATCATGTTGTGTTCCAATGATTGCTTTTAAAATTGCTGTTGGAGAGGTCTGGAGAGATGGCTTAGTGGTTAAGAGAACTTTTGATCTTCAGCGGACTCCAGTTTGATTCCCAGCACTTGCATGGTAGCTTACAGTTGACTGCAACTCCGCTTTCAGGGGCTCTGATGCCCTCTTCTGGTTTCCACAAGCACCAGGCACACATGTGATGCACTTACATACATGCAAGCAAACCTCATTAACATCAGTTAAAATGAATAAAAATTTAAAAATTGCTGTTTGAGTTGCTGACTTGAGTTTCATCTTAAAGCAAAAAAAATCAGTAAGTGAATTTTGTTTGGGGATTAGGACACACTTTCCACAGTTTCTGAAACAAGCATGCTTCTGATATTTGTGCTATATATTTGTGTCAGCAACTTCAGTATTAATGGTTATAAAATCAATATATTGGCTAACTATGAAAAACACCAAGGATGCTCTGTGTCTTTCATTATCAACTGTTCAGCCAGAGCTCAATTCCTGTTCGTTTAAGATAGAGTCTCTCTGAGTAGCTCTAGCTGTCCTGGAACTCACTCTTTGGACCAAGCTGGTCTCCAATTCTGAGATCCACCTGCCTCTGTCTCTGAAGTGCTGGGATTAAAGGCATGCACCACTAAAGATGGGGTCTTACTATGTAGCTCTGGCTAGACTGGAACTCAGCATGTAGACCAGCCTGGCCTCAAACTTATGGAGATCTGACTGTTTTTGCCTCCTGAGTGCTGGGTTTAGAAAAATAACCACGTACATCTATTTTATCATTTTGTAAAATTAATTTCTCCCTTAATAGTCAAATTTTATGTGTGCCAAAGAATTGTCTTATAATAAACTTCTTTATGATTTATTATCAGTAAATGTCTGATTTGTATACATACTTCATGCACCCATAGAGCCAAGGTCTCGTAAGCATTTCTAAGATGAGAAGGGCGCTGTGTGGGCACAGCTGGAGAAGCCCTGCGGTAGATCTCTCCACTCTATGCCGTCCTTCACATTCTTGATTTCGCTCTTTGAGATATAGAATGTTTTTTGTTTCTTGAACAGTGTTTTGATTCACGAATTTCTGTCATCATTTTCCTTGGCTAGGAGACAGCTGTTGCAACCCCATAAGCATGGGTGCCATTAAAAAGATGGTTGAAAAGGAACTACCTGGAATTTACGTCCTGTCTCTAGAGATTGGGAAGAACATGATGGAGGTAAGATAGCAGCTCGTTCCCTGGGAGGTTTGCTGCCGGGCTTGATAAAGTGTGCTATTTGAATGTTGCCTCTTACATTGTAAGCAGCAAGCCATAGCCCCACTGGTTCAGTTTCATTTTGTTTGGGGACGGAGGGTTTTGCCATGTAGCCTAGGCTGACCCGGAACATGATCTTCCTGCCTCATCCTCCCAGGTGCTTCCCTGCAGGGTTGTTCCCGCATGCTCAGCTAACACTTGAACTCCAGTGGTCAGATGAGGGCATGGATCTGGGTCAGCCCCTGCCTTAGAGAAGATGCTGTCTACGTACCGTTCCTTCATTTTACCTCCCTGCTCCTCTTTTAGGATGTGGAGAACAGTTTCTTCCTGAATGTCAATTCCCAAGTGAAGATAGTGTGCCAGATTCTGGAAAAGGATCCGAAGTTGCAGCAGGGTTACAATGCTATGGGCTTCTCCCAGGGAGGCCAGTTTCTGTAAGTACCCTCCTGTGCGTGCTGCTCCTCACAGGGAACTGATGTGTCTCCTGATCAGGTCAATTGGCTGCACTTATGTGGGGGTCCTCCTGTCTCACAGAAAGGAAGGCAGTCTTAAATTGTCACTGTGTAAACAGCTTTGTGGAACTTAGTTTCTCTTCTTTCTCTGTGTGTGCACGTGTGTGAGCATGTGTGTGGAGGTCAAAGGTTAATGTGAAATGTGTTCCTCAATTACTCTCAACCTTACATTTTTAGAAAAAAATGTTAAGGATTTTATTTTGGTATTAATTATGTGTGTGCTGGGGTATGTGAACATGCGACTGCAGTGCCCTTAGTGGCCAGAAGGGGCATCTGATCACCTCCCAGCTAGAGTTAGACATTATTGTGAGCCGCCCAGTGTAGGTGGTGGGAGCTAAGCCTGGGTCCTTTGCAAGAGCAGCAAGAGCTCCACCACTGAGCCATCTCTCCAATCCTCTATTTTAACTCAAAAATGTCAAAACCACATTTACTCTGTGTGGGTGTGCCTGTGTTTGTGTATGTGTATGCGCACATGTGCACACACGTGTATGCATGCCTTGGTACCGTATGAGTAGGTCAACAGACAGCTCTGAGGAATCAGTTCACCCCTTCCAACACATGGGGCCTGGGAACCAAGTCTGGTCATCAGGTGTGGTAGTGAGTATTTAACCCATCTCACTGGACAACATTGTTACTGCTGCTGCTGCTGTTGAGGTCTTTCTGTGAACCTGGAGCTCAGGATTGAGCTAGCCTGGCTGATTGACAAGCCTCAGGGACCCTTTGTCTCTACCTCCTCAGTACTGATATTCCCGGAACTGCTGTACCAGGCTTTTTCATTTTTTCTTTTTTCTTTTTTTTTGTAAGGGGAACATGCAATGCAGACTCAGGTCCTTATGGCTTCACTGAGCCACCTTCTCAGCCCCTCTTGCTGTGTTTTCTATGAAATAAGATTTATATACAGCCAGGAGGAAAACCCGGGAACTCTGGTTTGGGGACCCATGGTGTAGTAAATAACTTAATCTGTGAAGTGACTGTTGATAATTCCAATCTGACCGTCAGAGCTGACAGCCACCTTTGACTCCTGCAGGAGGGCAGTGGCCCAGAGATGCCCGTCACCTCCCATGATCAACCTGATCTCAGTTGGGGGACAACATCAAGGTAATGTTCACCCCCTATCCCCATGGTTCTTCCCCTTTTCAAACCCATATTTAGCTGATGTTTTGTATTTCTTTTTTCTTGCTTTTTCTTTCAGTTTTTTTCCTTCCTTCTTGTCTGTCTGTCTTTCTGTCTCTCTTTTCCCTCCTCTTAGCCCTCCTTTTTAGATAAGGTCTTGTTTGGTAGCCTAGGCTACGCTTAAACTCTTAGCAGTTCTTCAGCCACCTGGGTGATGAGATCATAGGCCTTCACCACCACACTGTGTGTGTGTGTGTGTGTGTGTGTGTGTGTGTGTGTGTGTGTGTGTGAGCTGCTGAGTCCATTTAGTGCTGCACATATGTATATAATCACTTGGGACTGGGTGACCTCCCAGGGACTCACCCCAGAAGATGCTTCTCTTTCTCTCTGCCATCATTAACTGCTTCTGGTTCTTCATCTAGGGGTGGGGCCCTGTGTGGTTTCTCCCACCTGCGCTGGCATGTCAACTACTGTTGTCATTATGCAAGTCTTGTGTAGGTGACCATATTGCTGAGATTCCATGGGTGTAACATATACAGATGACACTCTAAACAGCAGCCGTACTCTGGTCCTTACGCTCTCTCTGCCCCCTTCTTCCCTGTGCCCTGGATGTGTAGGGCTATAGATGTGTCCGTTGCAGTTGGGCACCTCACAATCAATTGTTCTCTGCATTTTGACCAATAGAAATGGAGATTGCTACAGAAAGAAGTTCCTGTGGTGAAGGGTGAGAGCTGCCCTTACCAAGAGAAGCAGGCGCTAAAGTCTCACCTCCAGAACAGGGCCTGGGCACGCAGAGATGGCCTAGATCTAGGCGCAAACGTGTGTGTGCGCGTGCACGTGTGTGGGTCTCCACATGTAAGGCAAGAACTCTACCTCAGGGCTGTACCCCAGCATACATTTGGTCTTCTGAATCCATGCATGAGCTCCCTATCTATTGATGCAAAGATCCACGGAGGAGAACTCTTCTGGGAAAGGCCATGGTGGTTTTGTGTGCCTAGAATCCCAGTATTTAGGGAGTGGGGGCAGGAGGATCATCCTCAGAGAGCTTGAGTTCAGCCTGAGCTCTATTAGACCCTACCTGTCTTCATAGAGAGGGACAGGAGTGTAGGACCCCGCCTTCCTGTGGATACCCACACCCAATCCAGGCGCGCGCCTTCCCGAACTCGGGCTCACGAGAATGGACGACTGTCCTGAGGGTTTAAAACAGACACACACAAAAGAGACCTTGCTCACTTACCAAGAGTAAATGGCCACTTTATTAAACTCAAGTCGGGTATTTATACCAGTGGGCAAGGGGGATCAAAAGGGCAAGGCCTCCTCCCATCAGGAGCAGGAGAAGGAGAATACAGGCCCCGGTGCCTCAGGCAGAATCAGCTGGGAGGGGCCAGGCGTGTGGAGCCCACGGCTAGAACCTTGATTACAGGTGGAATCACCATAACAAAGAGAGCCAAATTCTTCCTAAGCTATCCCCTCAAGCCAGTGCTAGTGCACAGTCTCTAGTGAGCCGGAGGTCACACGGCCCTGCGAATCGCCAGGAAGAAGGGAAAAAGACCTTGGTACCTACACAGGAGTGGGGAGAGAGGATGGGAACATAGCATCTGCACTGAACATGCAGACTTTGCTCGCTCCCCAGACAACACAGTAATGACAATCCACGAAGTGCTTACACGTCTTAGGTGTCAAAAGTAATCCACACAGGATTTAAAGGAAGGGGAGCTGCGTGGATGAAAGTATGACCTGGGAAGGGGGGGAGGGGAGTCAGATGATTCCCAAGAAGGAGGATGAGGCAGTCACGAGCTACTTGTAGCAGCCACATGTGGGTGGGGCTGGGGCACAGGTCCCTGGGGGCGTGCCAAGAGGAAGTTGGTGGTGGTGTTAGTTCTCAGTACTTGGGCTTGGGCTTTTTTGGTTTTTTTTTTTTGGTTTTTTGTTTTGTTTTGTTTTGTTTTTTTGCAAATGAATGAATTCAGATTGAAGCTCTTTGTCATTCTGTTTTTTGTTTTCACGGTGCCTAGTACAGTGGGCATTCAGTACATGATTATTGCAGTAATGCATGGTATCTTTTACCTACACAGGTGTCTTTGGCCTCCCTCGGTGCCCAGGAGAGAGTTCATATATCTGTGACTTCATCAGGAAAACAATTAATGCTGGTGCTTACTCCAAAGTTGTCCAAGAACGGTGAGTGTGGCTGGGTGTCCGGCTCAGACTGGGAAAGTACCTTGCTGACATTCATGCTCGGTGATCCTAGGAGTAATGCTAATGATGTCACAACTGTGTATAACTTTAGTCTCGGGGGATCTCATGCCCTCTTACGGCCTCTGGGGGCACTGCCTGCATGTGGTGCACAGACATGCATGCCTGTAAATCATCCGTATACATAAAAATATAAATCTAAAAAAAAAAAGTTGTCCTTAAAACATGAGACCTGATGTGATGACACACGCCTTTAACCCAGAACTCAGGAGGCAGAGGCAGGTGGATCCCTCTAAGTTTGAGACTGCCTGGTCTACAGAGCCAGTTCCAGGCCAGTAAGAGTGACAGACACAGTGAGACTTTGTCTTAAAAAAGTAAAAATAATAGAAAAATAAAATAAAAAAATAATAAAGGACTTAAAAGGGATAAAATTCACAGGGCCAAGAGAACAAGAGAGGGGTTAACAGACTGACCCTCTGAAACGGTAAACCGGCCCCCAATTAAATGCTTTCGTTTACAAGGGTTGCCTTGGTCATGACGTCTCTTCACAGCAGTAGTACCATAACTAAAACAAAGGTAGGAAAGAGAACAGAGAGAAGCAGTTAGAATGCCTGATGTGACTAACTTTCCAAGTAGAGGAAGGGTGAACTGGAATTAAAGAAGTAATACAAGAAAATGTCCAAGCCGTCACATGCATGAGCTTCCAGACTAACCAGACTTGCTAAACACCCAGTCAAGAACAGAAGGAAAGCAAAGCCACCCTGCAGTGCTTTCCTATGAAAGTTCACAGCACCAGGCATGGAAAACAGATCCCAACCAGGATACAGCTGAAGAGTTCAGATCCTGGGGCAGCATACCCAGAAGGCAATGGTGCGGAGCCTGTCCGCTGTCCTGTGTGCCTGTACCAAGGAGCAACCCAGTATGAGGGGAAATGAAGTAAAGGGAAAGGAGATGGCCTCTCATGTTCTCCTCTGGGGGTCGCTGGAGAGCCCCCATTCTGTCATCAGCTAGCTATGTGGTCCTGGGCACTCTGAACCTCTAACGTAAGGTCAGTAACATCATTTTCAGGGATAAGCAAGCTGAGTATAAGCTATTCAGTGCAGCCTGCGTTCCCACTGTAAAAGGGTTTGGGCTGTTATCATGGTTGGGCTATATTTAAAACATTCCGCCTTCTGTTTCCTTTGCTGGTGTCATTTTGTTTTCTCCTTTAGTTGCAGCTGTGAAGTCTTTGATTCATGATGTCATCAAATATTGAGTTACTATTTGCCAGGCCTGGTCATAGGCTCCATAGATACCATGGAATAGAAGCCAGCTGGGTGCCTTGGTCTCGTGCTTAGTTGGGGAGAGGAAAGAGGCACATCAGATGGGATCTGCAGGCAAGAAGGTGGTTCCTGCACTGGACACCTCTAATCTGTGTGAAGGAGGAGATGAAAGGAGCCTGGGAGAAGCCAAGCAAAGAATGGCCGGCACAAAGGCAGGGGCAGGTCAAGCTTGTTCTGGGCCAGGATGACTAGAGATCTGTGGGAAGATTGAGTAAACAAGTCGGGGCTGTACCACGTAAGAACTCGGCCCGGGAGGGAACTGGGACCCTGGGGCGCGTGCGGGACTGTTGGAGGTTTGAAGCTGAAGACCTCTACTGCTGTATGGAAAGTGGATTCTGAGAGGGCTAGACAACCAAGAGACGAGCGCATTAGGGCCTGTCTAATTATAGCCTAGCTGAGAGATAGTGGTGGCCGAGACACTAAGGTGGTGACAATTAGACTGAAGGAAAGGGGGCTTGAGGAGTGTTCTGTGCACTAGCTGAGCAACATAGGCCAGCACTTACAGCAGTCTACCCAGGCTGTGCGTTCTGAGCTCTCAAGAGCTCGGGTTGTTTGCTTTTTCTTTTTAAAATGTGTTTATATAAGCAAAGCCTCATTTGCACAGATGGCCAGTGGGAGACATATACAACATGCAAGCAGAACATACGACATGGTGGGGGGTGGAGGGAAGAGCGCGAAAGGAACATTTCTTCCTGCCACATTGTCAGGTTTCCTCTCATGTGAGAGAGGATTCTGATGACCAGAAAGGAGCTCACTCAAGCTGCAGTAAACTTAAAAGGACTTTCCTGGGGGCTGAGGGATGCTGGGTGGATGGCATGCTTGCTGTGCAAACGTGAGGGCCTGGGTACGCATTGCCAGCAGGTACGCACAAAGCTGCGCGCAATGGCATGCGTCTGCAACCCCCATACTGTAAGACAGGCGGACCCTGGGGACTTGCCTATCAGAGCTGTAAACTTCAGGTTTAGTGAGAGCCTGGCTCAAAGAATATGGTGTAGAGAGAGAGGAGGACACCCGCTGTCAACCCCACAAGAACAGGGGTCTTCCCCATACCTTCTCATATGAACATATATATATACTCACACATACAAACTAGAATAGATTAATGGAATTTTGTTTCCCAGCACCTCAGAGAGCATGGTGCCTCACACCTGGAATGTCAATACTCGGGAAGGTGAAGCAGGAGGATTGCTGCAAGTTTGAGGCTGGCATTGGCTACATGGTGAAGGACCAAGCCAGTCAGGGTTACATACATAGCAAGACCTTCCATGATAAAAACAAACTGAAACAGTTGATTGTGGTGGCACATGTCTATAATCCTAGCACTGGGGAGATGGAAGCAGGAAAATTGTTCAGTTGGGTCTATCCTGGGCTACCTAGTGAAACCCAGTCTTGGAACACCAAATGAAGTGCATAGACTTTTCTTTACTGCTGTGGTACAGCTTAGACTAGTTAGCCTTTTCCAGTCTACCCCCCAGTGGCACAAGTTGACAGTAAGAGACACAGTTTCTCTTCTGTCTGTTCATGAGCCGCCTCCTTCCAGGCCCTCCTCTGGGCTGTGCCACTGGCATCGAACCCCTTACAATGGAATGTCCCTGGAATCTTCCTGCCATCTCCTTTTAGCTGCCTCCTTTTGATGGCAAAAGCGTCATGGCAACGGTTGCCCTCACTCCACCCTTGGCCACTGGCCTCCTGGAAGTCAGGCTACCAGGAAACTGGCTTGACTTGGTCCAAAGACCTTCCTCATCCTCCCTTCCCACTGTGCTAGTGAGCCAGGATCACTAGTGTGCTAGTGACCTCAGAAAGATGTCCCCCCACATTTGAAGCTGTGCCCCACCCAGTGTTCTCACTACTGCAGCCTCCTTTCTCCTTACACCCCTAATCCAGGCGTAGCTTGTCTCACGTCCTGTGTGAACCATCATTTAGCAGACCCTTAGGATAGAGTGTCTAAGAGCGTCTACTGTCTATGAAGGGCCTTCCGGCCCTGTAGGGAGCAGTAGTGAGCAGTGATGCTCGAGCATGGCAGATCAGTAGTGGCACTACTTAATAAACTGTCCGTTGAACTTTTCTTTATCTAATTATTTTTGCAGTGCTGGGGATCAAACCCAAAGTCATTGCAGGTCAGACAAATACTATTATCTCTTAACAATACCTTTAGCCCTGAAGTTTTTATTTATTTATATATTATTTTTATTTTATGTCTGGGTATTTTGCTTATGTGTATGAAATGTACCATGTATGTGCCTGGTGCCCAGAGAGGCCAAAAGAAGGCATTGGATCCCTGGGAACTGGAGTTACAGACAGCTGTGAGCCACCATGTGGGTAGGGGGAGTCAAACCCAGGTCCTCTGGAAAAGCAGCCAGTGCTCTTAACCGCTGAGCCATTTCTTTAGCTCATAACTGAATTTTGAAGTATCAGTGAAACTGAACTTTTTAGAACTTCCAGATAACATTTTTTTGAGACAGAGTCTCACGTTAGCCCAACCTGGCCTCAAATTTACTACATAGCTGAAGATAAATAACCTTGAACTTCTGATCCCTAACTCCCAGGTGTTGGTATTTCAGGTGGGTACCACCACCTCTGGCTCCAAATACATTTATGAACAGATTAGAGAGTGTCGTTCTGATTCCTGATAGTCGCACTGGGATGGCTAAATCTCCATGCCTGGCTGAGGAAGGATAGGGTAATAATGGGGAGGAAGAGGTGTCTTATAGGATGACTAGGAAGCAAAGGAGAGTAGGGAGGTGAGGCTGTGGGAGGGACAGCCTGGGCCACTGTGATTAGAAGGAAGCCAAGTATTGATGAATCTCTATCAAAAGCCAAAATCTTTGGAATTTGGCCCTTGATAGACAGAATCCCCAAATATTTGGACTTTATCTTCCAAATGGCCTGTCCCCCTCTCAGGAAGATGTCTTGTTGACAGATCTTCAAAGTCATGAAAAGACAAGGTTTGGGACATAGGGGCTTTGATCTTTCATCTTTTGAAGTCTCTTGGTTGCCTAGGCACTGGAGCATGCCCCGAGCATGCTGACAGAGAAGCACCTTCGTTCCTTCTCTTCCTCAGCCTGGTGCAAGCACAGTACTGGCATGACCCCATCAAGGAGGATGTGTACCGCAACCACAGCATCTTCCTGGCAGACATAAATCAAGAAAGGGTAAGCACCCAAACACGCCCCCATGTTAGGCATTTCTTTCTGGCCATCAGAAAGAAATCAACCAGTGCCCATTTACAGAAAATACCCCAAGCATGAGAGGCAGTACTCATGAGTTCCAGTTCCTTTTAGGACAGCTGGGCCGGGGCTCATCTGGCCCTCCTCCTCCCCGAAGCCCTCCGCTTTCTTCATGTTGAAGCAGCAGAATGAGGCGACAGTAGGTGGCCTGCTGGACAAAGTAGAAATTCACAGCTGCTGTCTGCACGAAGCACGTTTTTTTGCTTTTGGTTTTGGTTTCTCGAGACGGGGTTTCTCTTTGTAACAGCCCTGGCTGTCCTGGAACTCGCTCTATAAACCAGGCTGGCCTTGAACTCACAAAGATCCACCTGCCTCTACCTCCAAGTGCTGCCTCCAAGGTGTGCACCACCACCGCCCGGCTTAGATGAGACTTAAGAGACTCTAGAAAAGGCAGAGACTGTACTCAAGCATGAGCATGGTTTGGAACATTCTGGCCAATTAAATGGTCACTTTATATGAAGGCTAAGTAGAGGGCATTTGTTGTTTGAAAGCAAAAAGTTGAAGAGGACAATAAACAAAAACAAAAGTTAGGCAACAATGCTGAATCAGGTAACAGAACAACCCAGAATTCTGTTTGTTTGCCTTGGTTTGAAGCCTGTGACTGAAGTGACTAATGTATATAGAATACGTAGGCAGAACTCCCGGTAGAATCCAGCCTGGTTGATAACACGCCAGTCAGACAGCTTTTAAGGGAAGGCTGAACTCTGAATCGCTGCCTGAACTTGACAGTACCAACCCTGCAGAACTGCTCTTCTTCCAGAGTGTCAACGAGTCCTACAAGAAGAACCTGATGGCCCTCAAGAAGTTCGTGATGGTGAAATTCCTCAACGATTCCATTGTGGACCCAGTAGACTCTGAGGTGAGACAGGCAGCGTGCCAGTGTGCCACAGTGTGCCGAGAGACTGTAGGGAGTCAACGGCGCCTGCCACAGTGTGCCACAGTGTGCCGAGAGACTGTAGGGAGTCAACGGCATTGATGGCGGCTGCCACAGTGTGCTGAGAGACTGTAGGGAGTCAACAACACAAACGGCGGCTACCACAGTGTGCCACAGTGTGCCGAGACTGTCAAGTCAACAGTACTGACAGCAGCTGCTTCCGGGGCAAACCTGTCCTCCCACCAACTTTGTACCCAGGAAAATCAGCTGCAATCCCCTAGCTGCACCCAGAATTTGTAAGTAAATGTGGTACACTTTAGTTTTAATCAGGTTCTCAGAAATATGTCCCAAAAGGGATTTAGAATGACTAGGCCCATATTTATGAGCCCCTAAGCTTGATGTCCAGGTCTGCCTTGATTTAGAGATAACAATCTTTACAGCTTCGTCACCCATTTTTGTTTTTGAAATGCCCCAAACCTGTTTGAAGGCTTCTTTCACGAGCCTTAGTCTTTTGAATGCTTTCCCCTGGCTTCTCCGCCTGACAAACTCCTGTTCTTTTGCTCAGGCTAAATACAATGTCACTTCCTCTAGAACACCATCCCTAATTCAGCTCTCTCATTTTAGTGGAGCCCTCACTTTGTAGGCCAGGCTGGCCTCGAACTCGCACTGATCCTTCTCCCTCTTCTTTTGAGTGCTGGGATGATGGAGGGGAGGAACCACCAGCTGCCTCAACTGACACTCCTGCTTACAGTCAGATCACAACTGGGAGGGGAAGGCAGCCTGGGAGCCAAATCTCACCATATTTTGAGTAGCCTATGAGCTCAGAATTTTTGCATATATGAATGGCTAGAGAAAAAAATCATATTTTATGCTATGAAAACTAGATGAATGCCAAATTCCCAAATGCATCTCATTAGAAATCTTTGCTCATTCTCATACTCTGTTGCTCCCTTTGCATCACAATGGCAAGTAAGAAGCCACAACCACGTGATTCCCTATCTGACCCCAGTGCTAAACAACGAATTGGTTCTGGGCCTGCTAGGCTGGGAGTTTGGGGAAAGGGCTTATGTATTTATCCTCGAATGACTGGGGCTGCCCAGGGGAGCTTTCATCTGCAGACAGTGAAGGAAGCAGAAGTGGCAGGGAGATAGAAAACCGGAGAAAGAGTCATCCCTCAGGATTGGCTTTTAAAATGAGATGACAAGATATACCCTCAGGTTACGTATGCTGACAGGTCTGTATTTCTAGCATTCAGAAGGCTCAGACAGATAGCTTGCCAGGTTAAGATCAACCTGGGTCACACAAGGGAGTTCCAAGTCACCAAAACCAAGACCCCACTCCCATTCTTCCTTCTTGCTTGCTATGTTGCATATATTACAGTGTTCATTTTGCTGGTAGTTTCAGGTACTAGCTAGCATCGAATCTGACCTGTTCTTTTTCCTTCTCTCCTACAGTGGTTTGGATTTTACAGAAGTGGCCAAGCTAAGGAAACCATTCCCGTCCAGGAGAGCACTATATACAAAGAGGTAAGAGAGGGAGCAATCGGCCTTGGGAGGTTGACACTGTTTCTGTCATCAGCCCTGGCTCCTGGAGCTGCTGGGCCCTCTTTAAGGAAGGCCCTTGCCTTGTTTGTCCTAGAACATTCGTAAGCCATCTGACTTGGGCCTTACTGAGCTGTTGCTTGTCACACTAACTTCCTAGGTGCAGGTTTATAGATATTTACTGCATCTCATGGTTTTTAGACACAAAAAGAGAAGCTGCATCTCTGTTTTACTTTTGAAGATAAGGTTTGGAGCTGGCTTCCCGTGCAGAGTTTACTACAAATTCCAGAAGCCTCTAAGTAAATGCAGACATGGGTGAGGTACCAGGCTACCTTAAGACCTGGAGCGGGGCTGTTTCTCAAGCAGATGTTAGTGTTTTACCACTGCCACAAACTGAAGAATTTATACTTTATCCTGGAGATGGACTCACAAGCGCCCCAGAACCACACCTGACTCATATTTACTTCCATGTGTTCCCCGCAATTTCAGAGGCATGGTTTCCTCTGCTTTTCTCATACATGTGCTGTGCCTGTGGGTGAGTGAGGAAGAAAGAAAGGGAAGCTAGTTTCTGGCAGCCTTGGAAATCATAGCCAAGATCTTCCTTATCATGAAACTCAAACCCGGGGGCAGACAGACAAGCAGTGGCTTGCTCCCCCACCAGTCTCTTCCCAGCAAGAGACAGACAGCCTGGCTATTGGGGATGGCACTCTAACTGCAAGCCACGAACAGGTCCTGAGTTCATGATCCTAAGAATAGGATATGCTGTATCTTAGAGCATTTGGTCAGTTTTCTCCTGTCTTTGGCTCAGCCCCACTTCACAATAATGTTCTGTGCCGGGTTTGCCTGGGGCTTGTCCAGCTGCTTTTCAGAAAGCTGACTACAGGCACTGGGGAGCAGCTCAGGTCCAGGGTTTATTTCTAGCACCTTGCAGGGGTTAGGAGTGCAGCAGAATCAGAACAATCTCAACTGCATATTAAAAAAAAAAAAAAAGGAAAAAAAAAAGACATTTTCTATGTAGTCCTGACTGACCTGGAACTCTTTATATAAACCTAGCTGCTCTTGAACTCAGAGACCTGTCTCTGGCTCCTGAATGGTAAAATTAAGGGAATGGGTCACTATGCTGGCTTACCCCCTTTCCCCATTTTTTCCCCAATGCATAGGGTGCTTTATCTGCAAGTACACCTGCATGCCAGAAGAGGGCATCAAATTGCATTATAGAAGCTGTGTGTGAGCCATTATGTGGTTGCTGGGAACTGAACTCAGGACCTCTGGAAAAGCTGTCTATGCTCTTAACCACTGAGCCATCTCTCCAGCTGCCATGTCTTTTTAATGCTTAGAGGCAGCTGAAGGAACCAGGCATAATAGTAAAACAGTCATATTCCCCCTGCCACTTAGGAGGCTGAGACAGGATTGCTGCCAAGATTGAGGCCAGCCTGGGCTATAAAGCAAGACCTTATCTCAAAAACCCAAACAAAATCCTGAAAGGAGGAATCCTTCCCCCCCACTCAACAATACAGCTCTATTTTAATATTGAAGAGAAAATGTACTTTGAGACGAATGCTGTACATTGTTGTGAGTCTAAAACCTTCCATTAAGCCCTTGAGTTCATTATGGCCTTTCTCTCTACAGGATCGCCTGGGACTAAAGCAAATGGACAAAGCAGGAAAGCTGGTGTTTCTGGCTAAGGAGGGGGACCATCTTCAACTGTCTAAAGAATGGTTTCATGCCCACATCACACCTTTTCTTAAGTGAAGCCCTTGCGCTTTGCAGCAGAGCTCAGGAAAGCCCAGCTCTCCCTGGCCACCCTGGTCTCTAACCTAGCTTGCAGGCAGCCCTCCTCCCTGTTATCTAACATGCCTTACTTGGAAAGATCTAAGATCTGAATCTTATCCTTTGCCGCCTCCTACAACCATATGGTGTTGAATTCAAATTTAATTAGCTAATAACCATGGCGATTGTTTTACGACCTTGTGATATGGTCAAGCTTCATCTGAAGAAGGGAGTCTGCTGTTGCAGATCAATGATTGTGCCCAAAGGAGACAAGAAAGTGAAGCAGGGAGACAGGCTGAGGGCATAAACCCACACAAATTTGGAACAAATAAAAGCCTGGTGGTACCCAGTCCTGAGGGGCTCGCACAGCACTTTCTCGGCGCTGCTGCTGTGGGCGGTGCTGTCTTCCTATCTAAGGGTTGCCTTCTAGTGGCTCCTAGCAGTCGCTCCACAGGCCTACCTTCATGTCCCCACAGAACTTACCTTGAACCCTCAGTGATAGAATTAGTCACAAAAGGAGGGACCGGGAGCAGGGTGGCTTAAGAGAAGAAATGCACTTTTTTTGAGACAGAGTCTCTCTCACTCTGTAGCCCTAGCTGGCTGGAACTATGTAGAGCGGACTGGCCTTGAACTCACAGAGCTCCTCTGCCTTGAGTGCAGGGGTCAAAGGCCTGCACCACCACGATGTGTGTCTTACCTACCATGAGATAGTGGGGAAGTGGAGCCAGGTGGGAACTGTTCTTACAAACAGCCCTCTGTAGTTGCTCACACCATTGCAAACAGGAGGAAGTCTGAAAGCTGGGACTTAGACACTTCTACCCAAATCCTATTTACCAGCATACTCCAAGCTGCTGCTGACTGGGTTCAAGAAAACGACTGAAGAGTATTGTAGACTTCCTTTTCCCCTTGGACACCAACCCACATTAGTATCAGGTGATGACTCTGATGGTTAGAGAGACACTGCCCCCACTTCATGTGCCACCTGAGCTTGGACCCTTTAGCACTCAGGCTGAGGCCGCAGCACTTTCTGGATGATTCCTATCTAGTCTGGAGAAATGATTCTTTTCATGAAAGCACCCTATTAGCAATGCAGAATCCACCCCTTGCCAGTTTTTCCTTTTCTCAAGTCTACTCTTCAGTAACAAGATACAGGGTAAGGGCAGGCAGCGGGAAGGTGTGACGCTCACTTTACAGGCTGTCTGAAATAAAGAGTAGTTTCTTACCCTTGTGTCGTTTCCAGTGTTTTCACATCTCAGTACAGAGGGGGTGAATAACTGAACAAGTTTGGTATTAACTTTATTCTATTTTCTGTATAACTTTAAGTACATAAAGGTTTATTTCCACAGGCCTCAGGAAACGGGCAGAAGTCACAGGACAATCTCTCTTCCCACCAAAAACAAAACAAAAATCGTTGCATATTTTGGTCAGTGTGTCCTAGAGGGAGAGCTGGGATTTACAATAGCAATGCTGTGCAAGATTCGTACGGAAATCAAGACCCAGACAACCTGCAGTGGAGGTCTCAGTCCTGCTCAGGGGCCCGCAGTGAGGCGCTAAGCTGCCGAGCATGACAGGCATGGGCAGGAAGAGGCCCACCAGACTCCTTGGAATGCTGCTTTGCTTTGCTTTTTTTAAGCTGGCCCATGAGAACCAAGGTGATCATCCCAGAGGAAGGAACAAGGTTTGAGACTTTTTTTCCCCTCAAAAAGGGTACTGCTACTGCAGCTGAGAGCAGAAAGCCTGCTACTTTGTGGTTGAGGCTGACCCAGAATGGAATGCAGAATGAAGGAATGCTTTTAGGAAACAAGTCTGCTTGGAATGCTGAGTGGCAAGCCTTAGCCTTTGGTCCAGTGCAACGCTGGCCTCACTTCTCAACGATGAACAATTAGATTGATTTGAACCTTACGGAGTCACACTGGCTCCTGCTACCCGCCATGCTCGCTGTTAGATTAGTACACATTCTGATCTGTTTGTTTCCAGGATGTTTTCCCCCCCAAGGACTGTTTATTGGTAGAATGACCCCCAAAGCTGAAAGCTCCAGCCTGGGCCTGCAGCTCTTAAGCACGGACTGTGGTGCAGCTGCGCTGGTGCAGAGCCATGCACCTTCCCGCCAGAGATCCACTGACCTGCTGTCCCGCCCATTCTCAGCCTGAGGTATATTCAGTGAAGGCAGGTAGCTGGGCTTCTCAGAGCAGAGAAGCAGTTTAAGAGCAGAAAGGTAGAGGAAATCTAGAAAAGAACCGTCTTCATACAGATGTATCCCATGGTGTGAAAGGGGAGGGCACAGGACCCGCGGGCATTCGCTTATCCAGCTATCTCTGTCACTGTGGTGACCAACTTCTGCCCATTCCACAAGGTCTTGAACTGCTCAGGGACTGGAAACTCGTTCTGTAAAAAATAGGTAACAAGTTGATAGGAGTAGAGATGGCTCAGCAGTTAAGAGCCCTGGGTTTGATTCCTGGCACCCACGGGGTGGCTCCCAACAATCTATAATTCTGGTTCCAGGTGATCCAACGCCCTCTTCTGACCTTAGGCACTGGTCACACATATGCTGCAACTATGTAATGCTGACAAAACACTCAGACACAAATCCAAAAATCAACAAACTTAGGAGGTAACATATTGGAATCCTGCCTATAGAATGAGCTGGGCAGTTTCTGTTTCACACTTCTGCCAATGCCCGGCTTCCACTTAACCTTGAGAGTAGTGTAGGATGGTGTGAGACAAACCTCACCAGCAGCCATGGCTGCACTGTGCTGCTCACTCTCTGGTGATCTATGACCCTGACAGGCTTAACCCTAGACACCAGCTTGTTGGGGGGGGGGGAGGCTCTGACTCTCAGTGAGCTAAGAAAGGCAGGAATGACCCTCCCCTCCCCCTTGGAGTCCCTTCATAGAACTACCTGGCTTCTGTGTGCATTGTTTTGGATTTACCTACAGAATGCCAAATGTTCATCAAATAGTTTTCTCTAATTCAATAAGTCTTTGGTTTAATGAGATAGTCTTACTACATAACCCAGGCTAGCCTCAAACTCCTAGCTCAGCCTCCTGAATTCAGGGAATACATGTGTATACCAAGAGGCTCAGCTCGTTTCTTCCAGTTTTAATGTCATGTTCCTCAGGGATATAACTTAATTGGTAGAGTGCTTGCCTAGCATGCAACAAAGCCCTGAGTTCAATCTTCAGCAGCAAATAAACAGCTGAGATATGGCTATATCTCAGCACGTGGGAGGCAGAGGAGGGAGGATCACCAAAGAGCTCCAGGCCAGCCTGGAATACAAGCGGCCCTGCTAGAAAGAAAGAGAACTTACAAAATCTCCGCCTTCTGTAGGAATGAGGACGTTCATCTCAGAAGATTTGGCACTGACTATCTCACAGTCCAGAGAGTTCTTGCTCAGGTAAGCATGGCAGCCATCTGTTTTGTTAATAGAAATGGTTGGCACTTTCCCCATCACCTGTAGAGAAAACCAAGGCAACTGAGTTCCAGCAGAGAAGGGTAGACTAAGCTGCGGAGAGAATGTTCACTGTTTTAAGTGATTGTACTACTTCACAAAAGCCCCCCAGTGCACAACAGCTATTAGAAATGGATGGGCCGGGCTAAGTCCTGGAAAGAGCTCCCTTAAAGAGCCAACTTCTGCCACATGCAAACCAGCTCAGCTTACAGACTTTGGAGAATCAGATTCCTGCCCAAGGAGCATCTGTGAGTCTGCTGTATCTATCAATTAATTCCTCAGGGACTAAAAGAAGGAGCCAAGATATCATTTACCTGAACTTTGACATCTCTACTATTGATTATCTCCACAATGCCCACCACGTCATCAAACACCAGGCCGAGCTTCTTACAGTTATCTAGGAGAAGAAAGGAAGCAGATCAACAGTGTAACTGCAAAGGACAGAGGATAAGGATTTCCAAAGAGGTGGAAATGACTCTAGCCCGCTCGGGCTTTAGGTCAGAACCTGCCTAGGGCAGCAAGGAGGACTCACCTACTGTAATGGAGTTAATTTTGCCCTTGATTTGCAATGTCGTGTTGACACACTTGTATATGTAAGCCACCTGTTTCAGCTCAGTGTCCTCAATCAGCAGGTTGGAAACATTCTCCTGGTTTTCCTATGAAGACACACCCCAGGATTCTCAGCACAAAGCACACATCCACAAAACCAACACCTTACCCCAAACCTTTGTTCCTCACTATAAGCCATCCCCTGCACACTTAGCTGAATTCTGGGTAGGTAAAGAACCACTACTCTGCCCCCTCCCCAGAGTCCAGCCCCTTTAACTCACCACTCGCCACTTCTTGCCTTCCAGTTCCAGCAGAGCTGGCTCCTTCTTTGTGGCTGGTTTGGGGGAGGGGCTGGTTTGGGGTTTAGGTGCAGAGAAGGGTTTGGGGCCACTCCGAACTGGACCACTCTGAGCTTTCAGGGCAGGATTCTTGTGAGTCTTCATGTCATCAGATACATGTTTCAGGGCTGTAAGAATACACAACAGCTACCTTGTTCCTAGTCTTCATATCAGAGCTTGGGCCGAGGCAATAGACAAGGCCTGCTATCACTAGTCCTTAGCAGAAACTTCAAGAACACAACTCGGGAGAGGCCATCTTGCAAGCAGTTTTGGAGAAGTGCTTTTATGGTTTCTCTTGTAATCTAGGTTATATGGTTTTATTAAAAAGCAAAACAAAGACAGCTGTGTGTGTCAAAAGTGAGGAAGGAACAAGAATATGCAAATGCATAAAAACAAATCTTGAAAGGTATGTATCAAATACATACACACAGAATACGTATGTATGTCATAATAAAAAGAGAAATTATGTCACAGTGAAGAAAATCTAGGAAAAGAAAAAGCCTCCTATATAGCAACCCCTCCTAATCAAGTGTGGGCATTTTGGGTTTTTTTTGTTTTTGTTTTTCCCTTTTGGTTTTTTTGAGACAGGGTTTCTCTGTGGCTTTGGAGCCTGTCCTGGAACTAGCTCTTGTAGACCAGGTTGGTCTCGAATTGACAGAGATCCGCCTGCCTCTGCCTCCCAAGTGTTGGGATTAAAGGCGCCACCACTGCCCGTTGGGCATCTTGTTACTATGTATTAATTACACATAATAACTGGTTTCACTGTGAGATTTTCATACATGTATAAATATGTTTTGATCATATTCACCCCATTACCTTCTGCTGTCCCCCTCCATTCCTACAAGCCCCTTCTACTTTCTCGTCCCTATGTGTGACACATGAGCTTCGAGCTTCGTCAGGCTTGCTTATAGGAGCATGGGCAAGAGTTTATCAGCTCTTTTCTGTGATCTAGTCTTTTTCTACTCATATTGATGTATTTGGTTAGAGCCATACAAATTGTTAATATTCAATTAAAATAAAACTTTTTTTAAACTTTTTTTTTTTGGTAAGCAAGTTGACAAAAATATGTTGACTACATAAACGGAAAATGAGTTTTAGCTCTACCATTGCTTGTGGTTGTAATATATTCATTTTTGGAGGTAGAAGCTGTTTTGTGAGGGCCTTACAGCTGGTGGGAGGACCGTGCAATCTGTATTATTCAGCAGGGCTGGATCTATGCATCCCCATAGCTGCTCCAAGAGGTAGTAGTTACATACTAGATTGCTTGCTCCTTAAACAGTACACAGTTCCTTTGGTGCAAAAAGTGTAACATGGCTGCACAGTATGCAATCAAGAGGGTACACCTCAGTTAACAGCCATTTCCCCTAATGCTGTGTTTCCCTATCTACAACACTAGTGGCTTCTATAAATAATAGTCTAAGACTGTTTCATATATTGTTACGAGTACATTCTTAGTCAAGGGTTGTACAATTTAGAATTTCCACCAGCTAGGTAGAGAAGTATTCACTTTCTCTGTAACAGTAGTCCTTTGTATGCGAATTTCCCATGTGACAAGTATAGATCCTCTGCAATGTTAGCATCCCAACACAATGACCTCAGAGACCATGCGGTACTTACTATGTGGCACAGGCTCCGGGAAACCTGCTAGAACTGAGCTGGCTAAGGTGCCCTGGGCATGCTGCCCTGGGCATGCTGTCATTACCCATGTTGAATTTCTACTCTTTAAAATTAAGTATTCACTTTTGCACTTATTAGAGGGAGGGAGAGAGAGAGTCAGAGAACAACTTCCAGGAGTCAGATCTCTTCTTCCACCAAGTGGGTCTCGGGGGTCACACGCAAACCATCAGTCAGGCTTGGGAGTGAGCTCCTTTACCCACTGAGCCAGCT